CAGAACACCCCAGAGCCCAGAAATGGAGCTGTAGGGCTGGGTTTAGAACACCCCAGAACCCAGAAATGGGCCCAGAACACCTCGGAAAACAGAAATGGGGCTGTAGGGCTGGGTCCAGCACACTCCAGAGCCCAGAAATGGAGCTGTAGGGCTGGGCCAAACACATCCCAGAACCCAGAAATGGACCCAGAACACCCCAGAACCCAGAAATGGGGCTGTAGGGCTGCCCATGAGCCACCCAACCCCACAGAACATTGGGGCAGGGGACACACACATCCGAGCTCCCACCAGCACCGTGATTTGGTCCCATCCATGCTGCAATGACAGCTGGGGAGTGATCCCACACTGCTGATCCCTCACTGCCTGTCACTCCCAGCTCGTGGCTGAGTGTCACCCCAACACACCCCAAAATCAGCCCCAAATCCTGCTGCTTTCACAGCAGGAAATTGCAGTAGGAACACCAGAGCAGATGGGATGTGCTGGTGCCATCCCTCACTCCAACGGACACCAGGACCTCACTACATCCTCACACTCGTTTTCCTTGGATTTTGATGTCAGTGGAAGCAGAGGGAATTGGGAGGAATTGTAAAAGGGGCTCAATGCCATGTGAGTTCCTCTGGGAAGAGCCCAGACCTGCCTTTGGAAGCCCAGCATCCCCTGACACCCCTGAGCAGCTCCCAGAGGAGAGGGGAAAAGGCACCCTCTGACCCCAGAGCTGCTGGAGGAGCTTATGGAGAGGAAGATTAAAAACTCCAATATGGGAGCTMGACAAATCTGGCAGCTGCATCACATAATCCCCTTCCTGAAAATCTTAATACATTTTTTGCTGGCCCATCCCCCGCCTCAGGAATGTTCTGAACYCAGAAAATGATGTTTTGTTTCCATTTTGTAATCAAGAAAAAGAGGCTCTTTGTGTGCAAACGGTGGCTTTGGAACAATAAATTCTGCTCTGCTGTTCCTTAATGGCTCAATCAGTACCTGCTGCTCTGGCCACAGTATTTACCGGCCAGCAGGAATGGATTTAGGGAATTGCACAGGAATCCTGCCCAGGAATGTCCCTGACAGATGCACCATCCACCTTCCTCCTCTTGTTGTCCCCCCAGTGACCCCACAAAGCGTTGGCAGTGAATTCCCCCCAAGATATTCCATACCCAGATCCTGCTTTCCTCCCTTCCTCCCACACCCTGTGATCCCAGCACCTCCCYAAACACCCCAACAGCCATCCAAGGAAAGCTCCACGTCCCTTTTGGTCCCCTCTCCACTGAGTTTGTGGCCAAACACAGGAGCTTTGCCCTCCCAGCTCTGAGGATGTCAGGGACAGAATTTAAAGGGAAACCCAAAACGTGTGCAAGGGAGAAGAGCCCCGGGTACCTGACGCTCATGATGTTGCCCTCGGGGTGTTTCTGCAGGTAAGCCTTCACCACCCAGGCCGTGTGCTCCCGGTAGGTCATGACTCGGCTGGGGACGAGAGGGACACGGGTCAGGTGAAGGGGAGGACACGGGGAGGCTGTGACCTGGGGTAGGACATGGGGGGAGCTGTGCCCAGGAGGACACAGGGGGAATCATGACCTGGGGAGGACACACAGAGAACTGTGCCCAAGAAGGACACGCATGAGGAGAGGACACGGATGGAGCTGTGCCCAGGAGGACACGCAGAGAGATGCGCCCAAGGAGGACACACAGGGAGCTGTGCCCAGGGAGGACACACAGAGAGCCATGACCCAGGGAGGACGGGCGTTACCATTCACTGAGTGCCATCCTCCTGTCGAACACGCGGATGGAGCCATCGCCCAACCCCGCCACGATCAGTGAGCGCTGCGAGTCACACGACAGGCTGGTGACACAGCTGTCAGCTCCCGTGGGGATGTCCTGCCAGAGAGAACACACAGTCACACAGAGTCACACATGGGCTGGTGACACAGCTGTCAGCTCCTGTGGGGATGTCCTGCCAGAGAGCACACACAGTCACACACAGAGTCACACACAGGCTGGTGACACAGCTGTCAGCTCCTGTGGGGATGTCCTGCCAGAGAGCACACAGAGTCACACACAGAGAGCACACAGAGTCACACACAGAGTCACACACAGAGTCACACACGGGCTGGTGACACAGCTGTCAGCTCCTGTGGGGATGTCCTGCCAGAGAGAACACAGAGTCACAGAGTCACACAGAGTCACACAGAGTCACACACAGAGTGACACACAGAGTGACACACAGAGTGACACACAGAGTCACACACGGAGTCACACACAGTCACACACACAGTCACACACGGAGTCACACAGAGTCACACAGAGTCACACACGGAGTCACACACAGTCACACACAGAGTCACACACAGTCACACACAGGGGATGGTGACACAGCTGTCAGCTCCCATGGCAATGTCCTGCCAGAGCACACAGTGACACACAGAGTCACACAGAGTCACACACAGAGTGATACACAGAGTCACACATACAGTCACACACAGGGTATGGTGACACAGCTGTCAGCCCCCATGGCAATGTCCTGCCAGAGAGCACACACAGACCACGCTGTGCCTTCAGGACGCTTCATCCAGACCCCAAACTGAGCTCCTGCCCCATCCCCATCCCCAYAGCAAACAGGGGAGGCAGTTGTGGTGCCCCTGAGCCCCATCAGTGACCCCTCAGCCCCAGGCAGTGCTGTGCCACCCCCTGTCCCCGCCGTGACACGTGTGACCATCCCGTGTCACCAGACATGTCAGCCACGCCGTGTGTCAGAACGGTGACACGGAGCTGCTGGCACAGCTGTGCTGGGAACACGCCGTGCACCCACGCTGCCACTTCCCCCTTCTACTCCTGCAGGCAAAAGAATTGCTCACAATAATCCCTGTGCCTGCTGGGAGGAAAACACTGTCARTTAAAACCGGTAAAAAACGCCGAGCAGCGCTGCCAAAGCAGGACTGACAGCCCTGGAATCGTGGGATGGTTTGGGTTGGGAGAGACCTTAAAGGCCAKCTCATCCCACCTTCCCCACCCCAARCCCTGTGTGGGATCCCTGCTGCAGCTGCAGGAGCTTTTTCCTTCACTTCAATCCCATTTTTGCCTCTGTGCAGATTCACCCAGAGTTGCTGCACCATCCCGGGGCTGCTCCATCCTCTGCCCACCCCCAGCTTCTCCTTTGAAGCATCAACACTTGACAAAAGTGCAAATGAAGCACTGGTTCCTGCAGCTCCAGCCCCGGTGCTTCCAGAGGTGTGGCTTTTTGTAGTTCAAAGAGGGAAAGCACCTTTATCCACCCGGATTATTGCTGCTCTTTGTGCTGATTCTCACTTTCCCTGTTACTGAGTCAGGAAGTTCCAATCACTTGAATTTCAACGCACCCAATCTTTGCAATTAGAAAAAAGAAACAACATGTTTTTAGATACTTTAGGTGCAATCATTAATCATAATAATTTAAAAGAATTTCGCCTCCCRAATTTTTGCCGCTGCCTAATTTGCATAGAAGAAAATAATATGTGAAAGTAATTAAGACGAACAGAGGCTTAATTATCCCGCATGGCAGGGTCAGAGTGTCGCAATTAATGTTCATCCAAGGGTAATTAATTTCGAGAAGCTTTGAAAACTCCACTTCCTTTTTATTCCAGCATGGTGCCTCCGTTCTCAGCGACCAGCTGCTTCTCCTTGGAATTTCTGAGAAACTCGCAGTGGTTGTGGCTGCTCTGAGCCCTTTTTCCCCATTCCATGGCACAGAGAGCTGTGTGTGCTTGCAGGGGTTCTGCACTCTTCCATTATGGGTTAGGGTGAAATTCAAGCCTCACTCCAGAGTCTGTCTGGGGATTGTACAGCCTTGGCCTCCCCAAATACTGCTGCTTTGAGCAGGAGAGCCCTGGCACATCCCATTACCCACCCCAAACACTGCCCTGAGCCCTGGCACATCCCTCACTCACCCCAAAC